ATATACCATTATATATACCAATCTTATACCATTCCTGTTCTCAGGGGACAACATGACTGTTTTAAATACAGCAGACTGGTTGCTGAGTTGCAACACCCCCTCTTCCGCAACAAGTATGAGAGATAATGGTACACTGCATGTGTTTGGGTGTGTGGATTTGCCCCTCTGGTTTGCTGTCTGTTGCTATTTCTGTTTGCGCCTCTTTTCTGTGTTCAGTATTATAAAGAAAAAGATGTGAATATGCCTTTTAGTTGTTTATGGATAACACTTGGCTGCAGTTTTCTTATCAATGGATATTCTAATCTTAGTTTCCTTAGAGTAATACTATGGTTTTCTTAGTTTTAAAAACTGTTTCGCAAACACAGGTTTATATATTAGTTTTTCAAACTGCTTATCTCTTTGTTGTATGTTTAGTTCAGCCCAATAAGTCATACAATCAGAGCAACAGAAGCAACGTAAATGTACAGTATATACCAATTTAATTACCTAATAACTCATAGGCTTTTGTACTTAAAATTAAAACTATAACATGGTTAAAGATACTTGCTTTTGTACAGACTTTGATAACTATTCCAAAGCACCTAATGTAATATTGGTAGTCAACATTCCATCACTTTAAAAATTCTCAGTGATGAAAACTATGCATTTAAAATTATAAATGAGTATTAAGACTCTTATACTGTTTTATTCTGTAAATATTCCTTACACTCATAAACACATGCATAAACAAATTTTCTCCTACCTCAAATGTCAATATGCTTTCAAAATCTGAAAATTAAAACAAAACCGTGATGCTACTACAGAACCACCAGTTTTAGGATTAAAAAGAAAAGCGCACTCTTATTGGAAGTGCGCTTGTCCAGCGAACACGTAGCAAAAGCAGTTTGGCCAGAACTCGCGCTCTCTCAAGTTAAATTAGAATATGTGACCAATGAATAGAGAGTGCTCCTGTATGCTCAGTGTTTCTATGGTTTAGTTTTTATTTCAAATACTTTTCATTTGCATACTTGAAATATAATTTTCTTCCTTAAAAATATGTTACAGAACTCAGTTACTCCTAATTCTAGTGCAAGAGTGTGTTTTCAGTAAAGAGCCAAAGAATAAATACATTTGACTTTGTCGGCCATACAACCTTTTTCAAATGCTGACCTGTGACATGTGGTGCAAAACCAGCCATACAGTGTATATAAATAACTTAGCATGGCTATCTTCCAGTAAAACCTTACTTATAGACCTTTAAATTAAAATTTCATTTGATTTCTGTGTTACAAAATAGTCTGTTTGTGCTTTTTTCAGTTAAAATGTAAAAAAGCATCAATACTTCAAGAGCTGTCTGTTCTAAAGTAGTGTTAATGTAATCCAAGCAATGGTACAATACTGAATATAAACAAGTATTATTTAGTAATTTCCATCTCATCTGAAGTGTTAAGTTTTCCTGGTTTTCAAGATTAATATTATGCCTCATGTGGTCAGTTGGAAGGACAAAGGCTTGTGCGCCAGGGATGTCTTGATCTGGACCTTAGCAGTATTCTCACTGGCTGTGTCACCCTGAATATGTTACTTAACCTCTCTGGCCTTCAGTCCCTTTCTGTCAAAGGAAGATCATAATTCCTGCACCACTATTTGTTATTAGATAATGTGTATAAATTTATTGGTTCTAGATACCAGTATATTTTTCTTCCTGATATTAATATTCCCATAATAATTTAGCAATAATTTTTAAGGAAAATAAAAACATGCACGGTGCTAAAAGACTCTAATATTTGTCCAAGTAACAAATTCCTTTGCATTTAGATATGTGTGCCCTGGACCAAAATCAAAACTTAGTAGCAGAATGTTAGCCATACTTTGATCATTAGTGATACAGTCCTGGTGGCATGTTGACATGAAAGTTTTAAAGAATTTTAGTGACTTTTATGGCAAGCATTATATCACAAACTCAACATTTGTTGTAAAATCTCTCCTTTTGAGAATGAACTATTTTATTTTCAGTTCTGGGTTTTATTGTTGGAATTGGATCACTTTGTAAAATTGTTGTAGTAAAACTAAAATGCAAACATCAAAATTAATGAATGGCTTTTCAAGATTTTTCTGTTTACTGTATGAGTAATTTTAATTACATATTTTATTAATATTAATAGTATCACTTTGAGATCCTGTCTTCATTGGCATTGCTCAAGCATGTTACATTATTTCTTAAAGTAATTTAATATATTTTATCACCTTAATTCTAACTGTACAATTACTCTTGGAAATATATACTGGAATAAAGGTTTTCCTTTCAAATTTTTATCATTCGGAAGCCAGGCATGGTGGCACACACCTGCAATCCCAGCACTTGGGAGGCTGAGGCAGGAGGATCATTGAGAGTTTGAGACCAGCCTGGGATACAAAGTGAGTTCAAGGCCAGCCTGAACTACATAGCGAGACCCTGTCTCAAAAAGACAAGAAAAAAAAATTATTATTTGTAAGTTTATTAAAATGTAAAATGTGAAAATTAAAATAAGTGCAATCATACCTTATCAAAGAAATCAGTCACCAGGTTTTGTAGACTACTGTGGACTCTTGTAGCTATTTAGTCTGCAATTGGTACCCAAAAGCAGTCACAAGCAGTACTTAAACAAATAAGTTCTGCTCAAATTAACTTGATTTTTCAACAATGGAATTTTAATGTTATGAAATTGTCATGTTACAAAATATCATCCCTCTTTTGATATTTTCAGCCATTTAAAAAGGAAAAAAAAAATGCTTAGCTCATGGATCACATAAAAACAGCCCTGAGTCAGATTTGCCTCAAACCCTAAAATGGATTTACAAGCATATACATGAAATATGTTGTACAAATAAAACGCAGGACAATTACAGAAAACCCCCTTCCAAATAAGAGTAATTCTACATGCTAGTTTGCTGAATGTATCTGGCATCCCAATGAACTATATTTCGTGTATGAAACTATTTAGATCCATTGGGCATGATTAGGACAGGTTCTAAAAGAATGAATCTTCTCTTTCTCACTTATTAAAATGTGTCAGTTCCTATGACATGCCAGTCTCTGTGCCAGGACCTGGGGGCTGAGTAATTTAAAGAACAGGCTGTTGGCCATCCAGAAACTTAAAGACCGACAGAGGGAAACAGAGATGAAAATACCGAGTGCTAGAATGCACTGCAGGTGGGTACCCGGCAGAGGGAGGCAGTATCTGAGTCTGCATAGAGAATAGGAAGAGACTTTGAAGAAAGGATTTCAGGGAACTAAAAATCAGACGTCGTGATCCCCTACACTGTGTTTTTTAAATAGGAGCTCCATGTATAAAAGAATCATACAGAATTTTAACACATAGGTGACTGACTCGAGTGTAAGGAGTTTATTTGTGAATGTTATTTGTGCTGTAGGACAACCTACTACTGTGGCTCTTCTCATTTAGATTTTCTTGTCAGAATGAAAATCATAAACTGCCTTGTCAAGTTATTTCATAAACTTGAATCCTGTATGGATAGTTAGGAATGAAAGACACTTGGAGGCATTCAAAGGTTTTTCAGACAAACACAAATAAGAGGCTATACTTATTATTAAACCTAGTGGGTAATGCTTAAGGAGGGACTTTCTGCAGTGTTATAAATTGTAAGCTTCATGATCCAGCATTTTCTGAAATTGTAGAAGCTTATGTCCTTATATCTCTATCTATCTTTGTACACATCTTTAAATGGACACCAGTGTAAACACACATTGCTGAAATGGAAAATGCAAATTACTAGGGTCACCTTGTAAGGGTTCAGCTTGACATTGCAAGAAATGATGTGAACTTTGAGTTATGATAAGAAAATGGGGGCTGGGGATGTAGCTCAGTGGCACAGCACCTGACTGGCAAGCACAAGGTCCTGAGTTCAATTCCTGGCACAAAAAAAGATCACAAAACAAACTTCCTTCAAAAGTTCTAAAGACAATATAAGGTGATGCAATCAAGTTTGCTTTGAAAATACGTGTATAGGAGTAGGGTCAAAGATGGTGCTGTAGATATAACCAACACCTGACAAAAATCACAGATGACTTGTATTTAGTCTATAGATATCAATTATTTTTAAAGTTAAATGCAAAATTTTGCCAAGTGTATTTGTGTAAATATATATCATGTATATATATAAATTTGTCTCTACAGAAAGCATCCAAGTTGCAAATAAATAACTTACCAGGAGAATGTGTGAACTATGCATATATTTTTTAGCATGACACTTCTGTACATGGTGCTTTGAAATTATTTTATCCCACTTTTAGGAAAATAAATCTTGACTTGTTTATTTTGAGTAGAATAAAGCCTCAAAGCTTTTCACGCTATGGTTATTATTTTGAAATAAATACATAATACATGAATTGGAATTTTCTTGAAAAACACAGTGTTTCTCTCCTATATAAGGTTTTGCCTTGTATTTTATAGTATGGTGTGATTTTAGATTCTCTTCTGTAAATAAGTTTAAAATAGAAAAAACCTGCTTGAACCCTATGTCAAATTAATAAAAGCAAGATATAGGTTAAAAATACATTGAATGAAGGAAGAGTTTTACAGGTTTTACAAAAATAGATAAAAGCCTAGATTTGTCTCATTAATGAATGTCTTCCCAAGCGTGCCTTGCATATATTCAATAAAAAAAATTTCTCTACTAAAAGAGTTAATAGTTTCTTTCTTAAATCATGTAAAAAAGAGACAAGAAAATAAAATACACTTTAAACATATTTGGAAATTCAGTGAAAGTTACTTCCACTTTACAACTTTATCTGTTATTATGATATAATGTATATGTCATAGCAGCAACCTGTTTTCTTAATGTCAAGATAACACTTCTTTGTATTGTATTTTATTGTTAATAACTAATAACATAAGAACTATTGATTTCACTTCTGGATTTTCTAACATTTAAACAAAGTTTTAATGTTTTTTCTGATACTGGGTATTGCAGTGAGCTGTATCCCCAGTCCTTTTTCTTTTTTATTTTGTGACAGGATCCTAAATAAGATGCCCCGGTTGGACTCAAATTGTGATCCTCTTGCCTCAGTCTCCTAGAGTGCTAGATTCACATGCATGCGCCATCACACCCAGAAAAATTATCTATTATTACCTAGTATTACTTTTCTCTAAAAAGTAAAACTAAAATACCTTTGCAAGTTTGGAGGTCAAGAGGTGTTCATTATGCTTTCTTAGTTTGAAAATTTATTTACTGTTGTGATATAATTGAGTTATTTCCCCACCTCTTTCTGGTCTACCCTTATCAGCACAGGAAAAATAATATTACATTAATGTTCACCATTTTCTCCTAAATGTTAGCATCAGTTATTGGTGACCTATTACTGTAAAGTCCACACATTTCAGTACACTGAGCACATATATGACAAGATTGTCATATATTTTCTTTTTGTTTGTTTGTTTGTTTTTTTCCGGTACCGGGAATTGAACTCACAACCTCGTGCTTGCCACAGCAAGTGCTGTGCCACTGAGCTAAATCCCCAGCCCCGATTGTCATATGTTTTCTAGGGATTCTTTGGCTCAATAAAATGCATCAGTTTTTTTTCTTAGACTATATACAGGCCAGTAATTTTTAATGAAAGACGTCACCAATAGGATGAGTAAGATAAAAAAAACTCACTCTTCTTCTTTTGATCACCTGAAACTCTCAAACTGAAGAGATTATAATCAAAACCAACACTAAGATTTTTAAATCAAGTCTCAAAGTTGAAATTCAAAGGGACAACACAAGTATCTTATGTATGGCTTCTACAGCTGTTTTGTCAGACTCAGCTCACCCTTTGCCCTCACTCCAATTCAGGAATGAAATCTGTTATTTCTAGTAGCATAACAAATTTATCTCACAAGTATCATTTACAGGTATAGAGCTGCTTGAATAAGAACTTAACCACAGTTAGAATTTAAAGAAACTGTCTCATCTTAATCTTGCTGAGGGCTTTGGACTGTGTGCTTTTTCATAAATATCACAAGTAAAATGTGGACAGTGCATCATGGAGAGTAGCCTTTGCAGTCATTTAGATCTTCTCTGGGATTTCCTTATGCAGCTGGGAGCAATTCTTGATTATTTGGTGCTGCCTAATGGAAGTGCAGACTGCATTCTGCAAATGTACCACCTGGTTTCAAGTCCTCGCTCTTTCCAGGAATATGAATATGGCAGAGTTAGTTTTTAGTTTTCATTTTTATTAGCACATGTCTGCAGTACATCATGACTACATGCATCATGGGAAGTTGGTGCATGTACACAACACATCTTCATTCATTTTTTCATCTCCTTTTTTTCCCCTCCTTGTTCCATCTCTCAGTCTCCCTCCCTTTTGCGAAAGATGCATCCCCTGTGTTCTGTTATTTCTCTTTTATTTTGCCCATTCATATAAGAAAAACTATCAGTATTTAAGCTGGTGTGTCTCATTTGTCTTATGTAACATTTCGTTCTCACTTCTTCTGTTCAGTATAGAACTCAAACAGAGTTTGAGATAGCCAGAGCGATCAGGCAAGAGAAATGGTTAGGTATAAGAAAGGAAGGAGGCAAATTATCATTACTTGCAAATGACACAGTCTCCTGTGCAGAAGCCCCAAAATTATCCCACCAAAAGTCCTCTAGAATTAATAAACAAATTCAGCAATGTGGCACGATACAAAATGAGCACACAAAAATGAACAACATTCCTGTACACCCATGGTAAATTCACCAAGAAATTCAGAAAACTATACTTAGGAGGGTATTCACAATTATCACAGAAAATTAAATAGTTGGAGGAGTTATTTATCCTTTCCGGCCTTCAGTTTCCTCTGCTGAAAAGTGAAGATGATAATATTGTCTACAGACTGTTGTAGAAATGAATGAATTAATAGCTCTAAACCACAGGAAGAGAGTCAGGAGTGTATTCGACACCTTATGCGTGGGTGCTCTTTTTTTTTTAATCTACTTTTAAACTTGCTGCTATTTGTATGTGTTATTTCAAGAGGAAGACATGGAACATATGCTTTAGTGTTCTATTCTAATATCTTGTAGTGTTGTCCATTTTTAATAAAGTGTTCCTAACCATTTTATATAGAGGATAACCTCATTCTTTCATTCTCTGAGCCTTTGGGAAGAGGCACTGTCAGGAGCGTAAGCCATTTTAATGCCTGAAGACAGCCTACTATGGAGGAAAAATCACAGATGTCAAAATTAAAGATCAGAGTTCAGATCTTGGCTCTGCAGTTTTCTGCATCAGAACTTACACAGACTCCTCATCCCACCCAAACCCATTTCCTTCTGTACAAAATAGACAGTGATTTGTACCCATCACGGTTTTTTATACGGTTAACCAAATGGACAGGGTCTAGCACATAGTGAACTCTCTCCATAAAGGACTGTGTAGTAGTTAACAATTTTCTAGTGATAGGTATAGTTCATCAAGTGTACCTGTCATGTGAACAGTTGTGCCAATTACTACTGGAAACTAGTAGCTACCAATTCATTCTTTTGCATGACACAAAATGTTAGATTTGTTTCTCATTATTATTGCTGGTAAAAGACAGGTCAACCTTAAACTTCCCCTCCGCTAAGATAAGTCATCCTGCACTTCCTCTGTCCAGCCTTTACAGTTCACCTCTGCATCTTACAGCAGATCTTTTTATTATTGAATCATAGATACTAAATTAACCCACAGCTCACTGAGGGTCTGGTTCACGCTGTCCTTGTGGAAGGTGTGCAACCATCAGTTAATACTTTTCTAACCAAGTAGCATTACTGGCTTGATTGGCTGGTGGGTACCGCATGACCCCGCTGTTCTTTTTTAGCTGATTCGTTCATAGTTGGCTCGTCCTCAACTTCTTTTTTTTTATAGTCTTCTGCTTGCTTCTAAGTCATTTAACTGCACCGCTCCATTTATAACTAGCAAACACAAGAGGTGTTAAGTAGAAAATAATTTACTTTATTCCCTCAGTGCTGTGAAAAATGAAGTCATAGAGCTTTGCCAACAAAGGGAGAATATGGGGTGAACAAATGGATAGAGGCTTTATTACCGCCCTCACTGTGCATCTAGTGGCAATAATGTGCGCTTACTCCATTGCCCAGAGAGGGTTTTGCCAGAATACACCGCGTGGAAGTAGAAATAACACATTCCAAGAGTTTTCGGAAGATGTACTTGCTGCTATAGAAGTCATCTCTTAGTCTGTGTTTCTCTGTATTACACATTAAGCGTTATTGCACCACTAAAAATAAACTCCAATGCTGTAAGGCTCCTTGGTCTTTTTTTACAGCGTAAAATTTATTGGGTGCTTATCTTTCACCCCATCCCATGAGTAGGTTCATGGCTTCTGATTTGCATATTCTCTTGCTATACTCTAATGCAATCATCTTTTACAAGTACCTTCTTGGAAAACATAAAATGTAAGCTAGTAAATCTCTTTGTTATGATTTGGATTAAATGTTCTGATTCCTCTTGTCTGTGTATTGACTGTATCAGAGTGTGCTGACCTGAGTTAAAATACAAATAGAGTACTGCTGTTTCACTTCTTAGGGTTGACTGCCATTAAAAAGCCCGACTCAGAGAATTAGCTTAGCCAGAGGATTTTTAAATAAATCCTTTATAAATGCATGCCCATTTAGAAGCTAAATTAACAAAACTTTCCTCATCAGCTTCTCGAGTTTTCTCTTGCATGCCCTGTAAGCCAGCAAAATCACTAGTAGAACAGTCAGGGGCTTTGATATAAATTTAGAAGTAAAACTCACATGTACTTATTCTTCTACATAGTGTCTCTTCTTGCAGTCAAAACAGAGCCTTTGAACAGCAGTGAGACCACAACCACGACTGGAGATGGAGCGCTTGACACTTTTACTGGGTCAGGTAAAGCCTTTAGCTCGTGTGTCATTACGTAGCCTTTGGGTGCGTGCTCATCCTGCTCCCTGTGCATAGCAGCACAAGCATCAAAGCTAGTAGCACGCTCGTCTTTATACAATCTTGAATAAACTCACTTCTTTGGGAGACCAACTTGTTTTAAAATTATACATTTTTAGAAGCATGTTGGGAATGGTTGGGGCTAATTTTCATTTGGTGGTGAAATAACTCCATGACTTTTATCATTAAAGATAAGCAGAGCTGGCTTCCTTCCTTGTTACTTTGTACAATGTTTAGTCAATTTAATAATTAGGTCAGAATAGTCAACTTCGTTCCTTCAATCTGCCCATTTAAATGACATTAAAAATCGCCTTCTGTCCATCATTCTAGATGTAAAGCTATCCATTTGATTCTTTCTAAATAACCTTGTTTCCTCTTCGGGTTTAAACACTCCTCCTGTGTGAGCAGCTGAGTGACAAGTACTAAAGGTTAATGGGCTGCTGGAGAACACATGCTGGTTGCATTAGAACCCAGCTTCTGAGAGCAGTCTGCACTTCAAAGAGAACAATGGTGTGTCTGCAAGCATCAATCCTTTTAAAATACAAATACCTGCTAACTCCCAGCTGGGTACAAAGAACAGGAATTAAGTTGACTTAAAGATGTTTTGTTAAGTCTTTTGGCTTATTATCTTGTGAAAGGATTTTTCACCCTGAGAAAGAATGTGTATTATCAGAAAGATAAACATTAAACCATTAAAGCTAGAAACATATTTATGCCAATTAAACTTTGATTCTGTTATTCTGCTTTAATATATTTCACGACTAGTCCCTGTTCTCATATGTGAGGATTTTAGGTGGTTATGCTTTATGTAAAATAAACTGAAGTGTGATTTGGAAGTTAGTGTCATTATATCATTTTCTTTATATTTATGGATGCAGATGATCCAGTTTTATTTGTTTATAGTATTTAGAAGCAGTTGTTACATATTCACATAAATAGTAGTACTCCAAACTGAAATAAGTAATAGTTTATAAACCTCATATAATGACTCATATGGGCTAAACCACATCCTTCTTAGCAATGTACATGCCTCCTGGCAGATACATGAGTACCAGCCTCCTTTGTTATTCCGTATTACTCACATGCCATAACTCTCGTGGATTTTCTGCAGAGTAAATGTGTATGAATGAGGTTTTATGGAAAAGAATTGAGTGATGAAGTAATTACTGTCATATGTCAAGAGTACTCAGGCCTTTTAAAAGCTGAATGACAAAAACTACATGCTTGTTAGCTTCAGAAAGAATTTCAGAGCTCTCTGATCCATTTTACAGACAAAAATACCCAGGCGTACAGAAAAGTCCAGTGTGGTCAGGTCCCCACAGTCAGAGCCTCTCAGGTGGTCAGCAGTAGAAGTGGGTCTAGAACCATTGTGGGTAATAAGTCCTGTGTTCTTTCTCTAATACACCATGGGGAAATATAAAGACAGAAAAAGAAATAGGTGAAAACAATTACCTTATTTGAAATCTGTCCATACTATCTTTGTAGATATTTTTCCAGTTTTCTTTTAAAAAATCTCTAGGGTCATGCAGTCTAGTAAAGTAGCCACATGCCATATGTGGCTAGCAGATTTAAGTTAATTAATGTATGATAAAATAAAGCATTTTATTTCTGGTCAGACTAGCTGCATTTCAAGTGTGTAATTGCTGCCTGTAGTTAGTGGCTACCATTCTAGACACCTCAGATGTAGAAGATGTCCAGTGTCATGGAAAGTTGTGCTTCACAGTAGAGATTTAGGGCCTGCATTCTCGACAGCAGCATTGTTAAAATTTTGTACTGATTCTTTATTGGGAGGGAGCTATATTCTTGCTATCTGCACTGCAAGATGTTCAGTGGCATCCCTGCTCTATGTCAGATGCCTTTACACCCCCATTTGTGACACCCTGAAAAGTCAACACAATTTAAATGTCTCCTGGTCAACAAAATTCCCCCACTTTCCATCCCACTGAGCACCACTGATCTAAAGTATGATAGTAATAAGACATAAGAAGTATAAAAACTTAAAACTGCTTAGCAGCATCCTCTGAGAAACTGATAATAGACATTATATTTTTAAAAAATTCTTTTGAGGATATTTTGAAGATTATCACTTCTGCCTCCTTTTTTCCCAGAAATCATAGAGTTTAGTGCATTGAATGATTTGGGTAATGTCTCTCTATAATTAATTAAATGGCAGTGGGGAATACAACAAAGATCTTCCACATTTGTACATGACATCCCACACATCTTTCTGGAGATTAATTTGCTTTTGTAGGAATGAAGTCTTTATTCTGGTCAACATGATCACAACTCACTTTTAACCCATTTTTTTCTTATTTTCAGTTATCTGAAAATTTATGCATTAGAATAAAATGTATACATTTTAGTAAGGAAGCACAAACTCTCCAATTTTTCTCGTGTGACAGTTTTCTGAGACAAAGGTTTTATCTTTTATTTAGGAAAGATAACAAATAAACATTAGTATGAAATGTCAAAAGTTAAATTTATAATGTTGTGGATACTTTACCATAATGATGTATAGATTATTCATTAGAGAGAAAAAGCTTTCTACATATTCAGCCTTGTGTACACGTATATGGGATTTTTTTTCTGAAATGCAGGATCTTGCTCTCTGTTTTATTTAAAAAAATCTGCTAGAGTGAATGTTTCTTTTCGTTCAATGTCTTTTTGGAAAAACCTTCTATTTTTCAATCTCAAGAAAAACCAATTAGTATGGATAGCCCAAGTTTTTAGTACCCCAAAATGAAGTTCCATTTTTAAAAAAAAAATTGAAATTAAGCCTCATTTAACTGTATATGTGCTAAACAAAATACTCACTATTGTGAATCAGTGAGGTAGACAACATTTCCCGTGGAATAACACTATTATTATAAAATGCGCATTTAATGTCCATGGGGCATAGTACAGAGCTTGGTTCTATGAAGCTGCTTTGAAAGTTTCAATATTCTTTCAAGTTGGTGAGAAATTAAATAAAAAATTAATGGTTTATTGGTCAATTTGTTTTCAACTTTATATAGAAAAATTACTTAAAGTTTTGTTCCTGAAACTGTTGAGAATGTAACACTTCTGGTCATAGATGATGGTTTTTAAAATTGACTTAAGAATTTCATGAAAATGTGATTATGGTACTATTGCTATGAAAACTGAAATATGCTTTTCATAGACTGCTCTTAAAGGGAAAATAGCATTTTAAATGTATTAGACTCTGTATGTTTATGATGCAGTAGATCACAAGGTTACTTAACAGTATTTGGAGATAGAAATATATCACATTTCAAAAAATAGTTAGCAACCTAAACCTATTTGTCACTTTTACAATTCTAAAAGTTTAGCCCTAGAATTATTATGAACAACTTAGAAAGGGCATAGTACTTTGAAGTTTAACTATGATTGATTAGACTAAACTAATTCCAGCACTGCATTGTGTACTACTTTAATCTTTTTGAAAAGTGAATGAACAGCAGATGGCCTAATAAAGACACTCTGTGTGCTTGCCCAGTATGGATTGGCTCTGAGGGGACTGACTCAACATGTTAGAGTCCATATATTTCATCTGTCTTAGTCAAGACAGATGGTTAAATGAAAGAAACTTCCAAACTTTTGGATATATTCCAGTACGGGGTGCATATTTGAAATAAAAGTTAATACAGTATAGCTTTGACTTTTAAGTTCTTTTCAGAAAAGTCTTATAGTTCAAAATCTACTTGCAAATATGATTTCTACCACCTTTTGTGATTATGTCTAAAATAAAATATTGCAATATCATTCTTGCTTCTTATGTATCTAGCAATTATTATTGCCCTAGGATATCGTAGACTACATTTTTAACCAAATCTGATTGGTAAAATGAAAGGGAATAGAAAATAATAGCAAGATTAGTGTTGGGAAATGAAGGTTAAGACATCAGTTTTTTAAAAAAAAATATTTTAATTAAAATAAATCTAGATACAATATATTGCTACCATATTGAACCTAAATCTAAAATTTTTAATTTAAAAATTTAGTTTTCCAGCATACAAGTTGAATTACTCTATGATTAAAGATATTTATTCATAGTATATCAATACATAAGAGCTTGGCTGGTGTTTTGAGAAAAGGAGAGAATGATACAATGATTTGTGAAAGAATTGTTAATTTCATGCTCTTAAAACAAATCTGGAAGGAGTTGAATTTGGATAAAGTTTTTAAAGAACTGTTTCTTTTTAGAATATGAATTTTAGAAAGTGAATTGATTTAATTTTTTTAAAAAATGGATAAACTTTTAGAAACGTATCTAGTGCGGCAGTTCCTTTAAATTGGTTATGTACACTCTAGTGAAATGCGTTTGTGAAGCAACTTTCTGTGCACTGGTTTTTGTGTCTTACAGTAATAACAAGTAGTGGCTACAGTCCCCGGTCAGCACATCAGTATTCCCCACAGCTATATCCTTCCAAGTAAGTGGTAACAGATTCAGTCTTGTTAGAGCAATTTTCTGCAATCACGTTTATTAATCTGTATTCACATTTTTAAATTGGAAACCACTAATGTATATAGATATCTATTAGTTCAATACATGTATGCATAAATTAAACATTGTAGTCAATATCTTGTACCAAATAGCAACAGAGACTTGACTTTTTCTGGGTAATTTCTTTTATTCTGAATATTCATATACTTTGAGGAAAGCATCAAGTTCAAATCAAATTCGTTACTGTTAATGAAAACTAAAAAATGCCTACGAGTTTAAAGAAAATATAGAGAGATCATATTTTACCCAATTCAACACTGCAAAATTCATTCCATCACTGAAATATTTTCACTGGATTCCAAGTAATAAGAAGAACACTTGTGAAGAATATGCTTTATTAGTTTTGTAACTGATGTAGTGAGTGTATTGAGAACAGTGGTAGATATTTCAAGTTGAACTATATTGGCTATGTATCTGAACTTGCTTGGGATCAGCCAGATGTGCCAAGATTTTAGATTTCTGACACACACACATTGCAATATAATGTGACTTTCTGCAACATAGCGCATGTCCCTAAGAATAGACCTGAATTGTCTGTTCCTTAGGCGCATTCTATGGAGCAGAGCATTATAAAGGTCATGACCTTCCATTTCTTCTCAGGAAAAATCCTCTTTTTTTTTTTTTTTTTTTTTTTAAGATTTTCAGGTTTTGGGCTGGGCATTTAGCTCAGCGGCAAAGCGCCTGCCTGGCAAGCACAAGGTCGTGAGTTCGGTTCCTGGTACCGGAGAAAAACCAAAAAAAAAAAAAGATTTTCAGGTTTTGATAGTGAATTCTTAGACCTTTTAGATAGACTTTTGTAATCACTGTATACTACCGGTCACTTCATGAGTATAAATACGCTCCCAAGAATATTACTGTAAGTGACTGTCATGTGCTCAATTTTGCTCACCTGCAGATTAATTGAACTGCCATTTCAGATGCAAACAAGAATTATAGAGCTGGAAGTGATTTTAGACATAACATCTAAACCAAATATCTCATTTTGAACCTGAGCTACAGTTTTAGAGAGTTTAAATTATTTATCCAAGGTTACCAGAGTAGTTTGTAGCAGAGCCGGGGCTCTTGATGTTCAGACTCTTTCTTATATTGTTAAGATTTTGTTGTGGATAAAGCAAAAGATCATTTCCTGAATATTATAGGGTTTCACTGAATCTAAGCTGTCTGAATTAATATGCAGTCTTTGTTGCCACAGTAATGCTATTTTTCTGATATTTAGGCCCTATCCACACATTCTTTCTACACCAGCAGCTCAAACGATGTCTGCCTATGCAGGCCAGACTCAGTATTCGGGAATGCAGCAGCCGGCAGTGTACACAGCCTACTCTCAGACAGGACAGCCCTACAGCCTGCCCACTTACGGTATTTCATCTCTGTCTTCTTCTTTGGTTATAAGCAGGGAACCCTGCTCATTGGTAGCTTTATATTCTAATGTAATTAGGGCCTCGTATTAAGGGCCTACAGTGCTCAACAGGATATCGTCTCACTAATGAAGTGGTTTGCATATGCATTTTCAAAACAGATCTGGGTGTGATGTTGCCAGCTATCAAGACAGAGGGTGGCCTTGCCCAAACTCAGTCACCGTTGCAGAGTGGCTGCCTCAGTTACAGTCCAGGGTTTTCTACCCCACAGCCGGGCCAGACGCCTTACTCTTACCAAATGCCAGGTAAGTAGCCACAAGTGAAAGCTCTTATGTTAGAATGAGTTCTTTGAATGAGACTCCATGGCTGCAGACTAAGAAACAGCCGGTCATAAAGACTCAAGTTTTACCACTGCTTGCAGTGGTAACAAAAGACCAACAACTAGCCAGAAATATGAAAACAGTTGAATATACATCGAGAAGCACGACTCATAGCAAATGTGAACACTTAATAAGCTGCATAACATCGGCAGGAAACCAAGTCCGAGCAAAGTATTCTTCAAGCAGTCACTAGGTCTGTCATTCATGGGTTTGATGTCTGCTTGAGTATTCTAAAAGATTCTGAGCAAAACCAATATTTTCTTTTCAGTATTCCATAATAATGTAATGCTGTTTTACTTGTAATGTAATGCTATTGCATTTAAGAGTGAGCTAGCTCTTTTATTTCTAATTATCATTGATTGAGGCTTTTTTTATTCCTAAAATACCTCTTCCCTATTGATATTATATCTCTCAATAGGGTTATTTCTATGCTTTGCACACTTCCCCTCCTATCCTGTGTATACAATCATTTGAAAATTTTTCTCAGTTTTGACTCCTTTAAAATTTTTGTTTTACCATTGTGTAATAGTAGCAGAAAGAATTCAGTGACAGTTAAAACTTTAAAAAGTAGTTTTTTTTATTCTTTTGTCTAAACTGTTAGTTATATCTACAGCTGTATTCGTGTATTTCAGCTAACTCATATTGACATCTTAGTCACTTGATTAAAATTAGACGATAGGACATTTATGGTTCTTTTCACCTAGAAGAAGTGGAAATATACTTCCATATGTACTATTAGGCGAAAGTCTTTATGAGTTGTGATTAAAAAATGTATGGTGAATGCTGCTGCAAATTGCTGCGCAACAAAAAGGCAGGCTCATAAAACATGACAGTGTGATGTCCTCATCCATCTTATTCACCAGATATGGCTTGTGCTACTTCTGGCTCATCTCCAAAGTCAAAATGACCAGGAAAGGTAAATATTTGTAATTGATTCAGGACATCAAGGCAGCCACACAAAGCACCTAAAGATATTCAGGAAAGAGGACTTCAGAACTCCTTCAGAAAGTGACAAGAATGATGGAATAAATATATTCAAAGCCAGGGAGTATTTTAAGGAGGATTAAATGCAATGTATCTTTTATAGTACATTTCTAAAAGTTGGACATTGACTGTACTATTCGATCACACTTTGTGTAACCACAATGTGCAATAGAGCTACACTCAACAGTATGACAGTGAGTATAAAGACATTTTCATTTGTCCCCAAATATTATCTTAGTGTCTACCCCAAGCCAAATGAATTGTATTGATTACATACTGTATTGGTACTCAGAACATGCTGATAAAACACATAATCAGTGGTCTCTCAGTGTTTCATTTCATTCCTGAAAAAATACTACCCATAAGGACATATTTAAGAAGAAAAATTTATACTAATAATCTATCTTCACTTGTTTTGCCCAGTTTTGAAAACGGATTAAATAAATTTTGGACTTTGTAGTTTTATAAGTCCCTCAAATCTTAGATTTTCTGTATACAATTCTTCTTCAATTCTGAACCTGAATTCACAGCTCTCGTTCTAAGGAAAGAACGTAAAAGTATGAAAGAGTAGGAAGCTGCCGAGGTCCTGGCAGCTCCAAGTCGGATCTGTTTATTTCCTAGTGAAGCCAACTAAATGTTTAATTCTATTTGTTTTCTAATGCAAATGATTTGAAAGTTCTGGCTGTTTCCTGGAAGAGTCTCAGCCTGTGCGGTATCTTATTCTTTGAGTTCCCCCATACTTCTAGACCTCCACTTTTGACTATTAGCCTCAATTCTTGAGAAGACTATCCCTATTTACTCTTGTTTAGCGCAGCATTTTCACCAGGAAAGGCATCACCAACCATCACAGGACGTGCAGAGCCATGCACCCTTACTCTATAAATCTCTCCGCTTCAAATTTACTGCCTTCCAAATATAGTTTCCTCCCTGAATTATGCAAAGTGAAATATTTGTTTTATTTTACCATATAAAAACAGGTCTGGGATGTATGAAAATTTTATTTATTTATTTTCTAATTTATACATAAGTACAGATTTCTCGGGTATCCTGAGATATTTTGATACAGGTCTACATTGTATAGTGTTGAAATAAGGCAAACACAGGGGGATATCAAAAAATAGAGTCAGTAAATGCTTCATTTTTTAAAATTACTAGAGTAGAACACACATTGTCAAAATAGTAGGATAAGAGAATTACGAGTATTTTGAGAGTAATTCAGGGCAATATATCTTTTTCTGCAATTTTTAATTTAAATATTCACTGTACTTTTTATCATCCCTATCCAGCCTTTCAAATGTTTATTATTTGTGGTGAAAACATCCAAAATCTTTCTAGCTTTTAAAAAATTATATAACACCTCATTATTGATACTGATCCTACTGTGGAATGTCATACCAGAACTACTCCTATCTGCAACTAGGATCTCTTGGCTTGCCTTTCCTGTCCTCTGTCCCCCCCTGCTCACCACAGCCTGTGGTGACAGCTGTTCTCCTCTCATCTGCTCAGCCAGCCTTTGTTTAGACTCTTCAAATGAGTGACGTCACGTGGTACTTTTCTTTCTGGGCCAGACTTATTTCACTTAAAATAATATCCTTCAGTTCTATCAGTGTTATTGAAAATGACAAGGCTCCATTCTCTCTCACGGTTGAATTATATGAAGCGTTTTAAAATGCACTTTGTTCTTTGCCTCCAGGTTCTAGTTTTGCACCATCGTCTACTATTTATGCAAATAACTCAGTTTCGAATTCAACAAATTTCAGTGGTTCACAACAGGTATGGTAGTTTTTTTTGTTTATGCTTTTTATATCGATCACAGATTTTTGAAGACTATGCTCAAGTTGCGTTACGCATTCTTCAGAAAGTATACACTCTCCAAAAATTATGTTGCTTTATTTAAAATTAAGTTAGCATCTCAAGAGAGTTCAAAATTGCCTATTGAGAATTTTAGGGATCTGTGTTATTCTCTTTTCAATTTCTTTATTCTTATTTCAATTTCTTTACTTTCTTAAGATTTGACCATTAGGGGCTGGGGATTTAGCTCAGCAGCAAAGGGCCTGCCTGGCAAGCCCAAGGTTGTGAGTTCGATTCCTGGTACCGGAAGAAAAGACAAAAAAAAAAGATTTGCCCATTAAACATATAACTTGCAGTTATTTAAGTCATGTAATTATAAACTACATTGCATACTTTACTATTACCTTAAACTATACTAAATGCAGTTTTCTTACTACTGATAAAACACAGTTATCATTATGTATATTAATTAATAGAATAAATAATAACCAATGGTAGGATTTTACTATAGACTACAAGACATGTTCAGTTCAAAAATATATCACTGACTACCAGAACTACTGTTGGCTTTCTAATATTATAACTTTTAAAATTCTATAGTTTTAGTTCTATCATTTTATTTTTTTAGTGCTATGATTTCTTGTAATAAATGTTTGGTTTCTACTTCCCTGATACCTGTGTTTTCTGCTATACGCACTGAGGCTGCCTTTAAGAGACTTGGTCCTCCCCTCTTTATATTTATTACCATTTCAATGAGTTTTTAAATCCAGCCTGTTAGCAGTACGTGTAGAGCAAGAGTAAATGTCCCTGAATGAGGCACCTGGCACAGAGATGAATTTGTAACCTATGTTAACATCTCAGAATCTTTTCTTCATTTCCTGATTTCTCAACCATGTTCAGCAGTAAGCAAGGGACTACTTTATATTTTTTAATGTGCACATTTTATTTATTTTAATTTTTATTTGTATATATTGGCAGTGCATAATGATTGCTTTCATCGAGGGAAGATGGTGCCTGTACATAACACACCTTAATTCTCTTCTCATCCTCTTTCCATCCCCGCTTTCTCTCTCCCTCCATTTCTTGGTCCCCTTCCCCCATCCCGTTTCCTAATATCTCTCCTTTATTTTGTTCTTTACTTATACTTTGGATTTCTCATAGAAGAGACACCATGCAGTATTTAGGGTTCTGAGTTTGATTTATTGCAGTTTACAATTACTCTAATGTCATCTCTGTGCTTTCAGATATTTTAAAATGTTAAGGGTTTTGTACAAGTGCTTGCAGGCCCTGTATTGACTGAAAGATTGTGCTAATTTTGCTCTTGTAGTTTTATTACCATAATCAAAGGCCTAGAGGAAATTTTGATTGTTAAAATAGTATGGAATTAAAATATTCTGATTGAATTAAACTGAAATTTGGCATTAAAAAATAATCCTCTTAATCATTAAACATCACAGTCACCATATATATTTTGTCATATTTGTGCACATATGCATATTTATAAAACCACAACCATAGATGTGATCCACAGATTTCATAGAGTAGGTCTAGCATAATATACAATTTTCACTATGAATGATGGTGTGGGTACCAGTTTATCCTTTTAACAGATCCTTAGTAGTGTTAAGTATTAGGAGCAGGTCTGCACATGGGAACACGAAGGTGTCATGAGGCTGTGTCAGTCTCTGTGAAATTTAAGGCCTACAGAGAGAAGCACACAGGCAATGAACGTACATAAAGGGAGAGAACAAGATCCCACCGAAAATATTAATAGGTATCTAATTCTGAGCAGGAGAGGGTCTGTGCGAGCCCTTCTTGTGGGAATATTGAAGCCAAGACTTCTTAGAGTTAGGTGAAGAATGAGAGAGCAAGAATTTTCAGACAGAGGAAGCGGTAGGTTCCCAAGGCATGTGAGTGCAGTCAGTAGAGGAAAGCTGGGGTTCAGTTAGTGAACGAGGAGGTAGGAGGCACGCATTGGAGAGGTAGGCAAGGCCTGCTCAGGTGAGGGCCCGTGGGTTACAGGAAGGCTTTGGATGTTGTTCCAAATCCAGCGGGTCACTATTGGAAGGCTCTGAGCAGGAGAATAGCATCATAACACTGACATTTTGAAAAGATTGTTCTGGCTTCAGTATCTTTGGGAAAAGCTAATAGCAACAAGGAGATAAATTACAAACTGATTACGTTGCCTGCAACAGGAAGTGAAGGTAGTGGCTCAGCCAGGGATGAAAAGAGTAGAAAGGAAGAGGGGGGAAATCTTGGAGATGTGATTAAGTACGAAAAGATTTCCTGTTCCCCAGCAGTGGCTAGGGGACCTGCTGGCAGGCTAGCACAGAGCTTCAGCACACGAATGCTACAGGGGACTCCAGCCTGCAGTTCCAGCTAAGAAAATTACTAACTGTGTGACCAGGTGTGAATCACTTAATCATTCCGAGCTTCAGTCTTTTTCAGAGTGAAATGGGAATGATAATATTACCACACACAAGACTGCAAGATTAAATGAGCAGATCTATTTGAACCCTCAGAACAGTGCCTTGACACAAAGTCAGTACCAAGTGGGTGCTGTCACTGTTGACTCTGAGAAAAATGTTTGCTAGAGACCGTTCAAATATTGATGAGATTTTCCCCTTGACTCCCAGATAGTGGTAGGGAGCTTTAGATCCTTAAGTTAATAAATTAAAAGGCTTTTAGTGTTCCACCACATTACTTAATCCTTTCTGATAACATACATATTTACATATTCAGAGAATTTCCATTTTTGCAATCATATCAGAAATGAATCTTTGTTCCCCTCAGACCTTGTCACAACAGATCTTGTCCTGTCTAAAGCTTTGTCATCACTGATAACATTTTGTGCAAAACAAGGCAGATATATTAAATACCGTTCTTAATACCAAATCCTTACTTATCATCTTAATGTGTCATATATTTTGTGGGATCATTCTTATCATTTTAAGGCTCTTGAAAGAATTTTTTAATGAAAATCAGGTCAGAGGCATTGATCCAATTATTTCGTTTTCGTCTGTAACAAAGGAGAAACCTAAATATTCAAACATTTCCTTGAAGATTTTAGATCAAGGCTGCAGATAGCACATAGTTGTGAAAGACCAGATTAAAAACATCCCTTGCTCATCTGCATTTATTTACCCTATAGCTCCTGCCAAGAAAATGAAATTATTATGGGTAGCCTGGAAGGGAACAGAAATTTTGAAAAATGCGCACGAGTGTGTGTAGAAGCTGAGAGAAGCAGAAGCAGCCGTAGCTCCTTGCTGAGCACTTAAGAGATGGATAAGAATTGATTTCACAAAAATGAACCAATTCTCTCTCCTTTTCTCCTGCATTGGATGGATTTCAGTAATGTAAATCCTTGGATAAGTAATTGTGGGAGTGGAGATAAAATTCATGCTACTTTTAGGCAGCTTAAAATCTGAGTACTAGACCTGGTTTGCAAAGGCAGTGGGGAAGTTTATTACTCTGTTGTTTTTTTTTTTCTTTTTTTTTTTTGTTTTTTTTTTTTTGTTTTTTTTCTCCGGTATTGGGAACCGAACTCACGACCTTGCGCTTGCCAGGCAGGCGCTTTTGCCGCCGAGCTAAATCCCCAGGCCCTAAGTTTATTACTCTGTGTAGATAAAAATAGCTCAGAAAAATAGACTCTACTCCTCAGAAGCACCTCAGAGCTGTAGACTCTGAAATAAATGGAGCTGAATAATAATCTTTCATTACCATAGAGATCGTTTTTAGCATATCAGAGAATAATTTCTTTTTCAAACACACATCTCAATTACTGTTTCAGGATTACCCATCCTACACAGCCTTTGGCCAAAACCAGTATGCGCAGTATTATTCAGCATCAACGTACGGAGCGTATATGACATCAAATAACACTGCTGACTGCACCTCATCATCAACCTCCACTTACCAGTTGCAGGAATCTCTCCCCGGGCTGACTAGCCAACCAGGTATAGAGCTCCACCCAGCTGAAATTCTTCTAAATGTTTTGTGGTGTTGAGTCACAAAGAGAAAGTGCACACTTCAAAAGCATGCCTGAAAATTCCAGATAATTGTGCTCCTGTTTAATCTGTATTATTCTCCCTGCAATAAAATGAGGCCTGTCTGGCTTTAAATGAAAACCATTTTTTTTTAGATGTGGGAAAGATAAGAGATTTTAATCTCAAACTGATATATAGGCAGGAATATGGGTAAATAGAATTTTTGCCAGACCTATTCTTTATTTTATGAAACATTTAGCAACACAGTAAAACTTGTAATTTTATCTTCTTGGACTATAACTATTAATATTTCGTCATGCCTGAGACACTGTAGTTCCTTCATCCTGAGTCTCCAGTGGATCTAGTCAGTCAACATTCCTGCATTCCTAAGATTTATTGGATCAGTAGTAGGGAGCTTAACATCTTTGACTGATCAGTGCATATTTAAAATTCCCTATAGTTTTGCTCATTTGAAGCTTGCTTTATTCTTAGTAGAATTGTATTTGCTGTGCGTATTTGGTATAACTGCAGTATTTAAAAGCAAATTTAATAGAGATGCACCCTATTCTCAACCAAAATTCAAATTAAATTTTTTGGAGAATTTTGTAAAGATGACTTTAATATCATAAGAAAGGTAAAGGCATTAAAATAGTTAAAAACAGTTTTGGAAAATAAGAGTTTCAAAACACATTCTGAATCCAAGACATGCAACAGTATAGTTATCAAGAAAGTACAGTATTAGCAAAAGGATAAATACACAGAGCAACAAAACAGAATAGAATCTGGAAACCAACTCACACATATGCTCGAAAACTGATTTTTTACCAGAGTGCCAAGAAAATTGGACAATTAATAGACTTTAAAAAAAAAAAGGTACTGGAAAATCTGGGTATCCACACACAAGAAAGATAAAAGAACCTCAATTTATAATTTGTATACTAAGCAACTAAAAATGAATCATAAGGCTATATATAGAAATTAGTATTCAAAAACTTGTAGAAGAAAAATGTGAAGGAAATCTATGACTCTGAGCAAGATAAAGAGTTTATAAGTCTGGTGCTGAAAGAAAGAAGAGAGTAATAAAAGGAGAGAAAATAAATCAGATTTCCTAGAGTTATTAACTTCTCTTTGAAAGATACTGTTGCAGGATTAGTAAAACAAGCCACAGTTACTATAACATCCATATCTGATGCTGGACTTAGAGCCAGAAAATCAGTAAGAAAAATGAGATTGAAAATTTTTGTAAATGCTATAAATCTGTTCAGGTATATTTTCCTGCCCTCAGTTATGTGCAAGATCCAAATTTATCTGTGCTTTTGATCCATCTTAGGAAGGGAAAGAATGTAGGGAAACGTGGTCGCAACACTATAAACTCTTTCTAACTGGGCAAGTAGGGGCAAGGTGATTCAGTTAAGTAATTTGCTGAGTACCTACTAAATCCCAGCATGGTACTCAGCACTCGCATTTTCAGTCATGAATGAACTCCCTGCATACTTCTGGCTTCCTTTAACAAGCAAGGCAAAGATTAAGCAATTAGATGTAATGGTGGTAAATCTCAAGAAGGGGAAAATGCTAAGTAATGTGGTAAATATTAGCAAGTACACTCATTTGAATATTAAGGAGAAACAACAATATCAATTTTTAAACAATAGATAAGATATGCATATATTGTGAATTGCCAAAGTGATAATAATGGTTATCTTTGTTTCCCTCTGCAAAAACACAGTAATACTCCCTTGTCCGTATTTCCCTTTGCCCGGTGTCAGTGAGTCATAGTGCCAACGTGGTCCCCCCAAAATTAAGTGGAAAATTCTACAAATAAATCATAAAAATTTTAATAGTTTTTATTGCAGGCTAGTTAGATTTATTTTATTTTATTATTATGTATTGTTATTGCTCACCCTACCTAACACATAACTAAAACTTTGTTGTAGATACATACATGAAGAATCATACCATATGTGAGGTTCAATAGTATCTGTGCTTTAGGCATCTGTTGAACATCTTAAAATATATCCCTCACAGTGGAGGGGAGACCACTATATAGCCTTAGCTATGGACTCAAGAAAAAAATAGTATAGAAGTCATGCAAAGGCTGATCAAAAACTATATGTGCTTAAATATTACAGTAAAAGACACACTGCCGTTAATCCTCCTTAGTATACTTCCATCACTTTGAGCACACCTATCCCATTTTCTGTTGTGCTTGCCCCTTTGTGGAGCATTTCTGGAAGTCTTCTTTCATAAGTGTCTTTATAAAGGATGATCAAAACTATGATGTATGCTGCTGCCCAGTGCCACCCAGCGGAAAAGGAGACTCATAAAAAATATTACAGTCAGTCCTCCTTCACCTTGTTCACCAGATCTTGCACCATGCAACTTCTGAGTCTTTCCAAAGTCAAAATGACCATGAAAAGTAAAGGTTTGGGGTCATTTAGCACAACTAGTTAGCAGCGTAGCTAAAAACACTCAAAAAAGAATTTCCAGAACTTGCCATTTTCAGGAAATGGCAAAAATGATGAAATAAATGTGTTCAAAGTGAGGGGAAATATTACAAAGGGAGTTAATGGCAATGTTCCTTTTAGTATAATAAGTTTTTAAAAATTTAACCATTCACAACTTTCTTTTTTTTGGTTTTTCTCCGGTACCAGGAACCGAACTCACAACCTTGCACTTGCCAGGCAGGCGCTTTTGCCGTTGAGCTAAATCCCTAGACCCCCACTCACAACTTTCAATCAGACTTTGTAGTTTGTCTTTGGTGTCCCTGATTTCAGTTCCTTTACTGTTATCTTCCTTTTGGACTCTTCCTCCTGTGAGCACAGATCCCACTTGGAATCCTGGTCCTAGTCCTTCTAAGGTTTTCTGTTTAGACTTTTCTCCTAGCCTCAATCTCCCTGAGAATTTGTACCCCATGGGGGCGCCAGGCTTTGGCTCAGACCGGTGAAACACCTATGCTACAAAATTTAGAAAGGCAGTGTTTGTCAAGACAGTTAAATTTTATGTTCTACATGTCTCCCTCATTTGTTCAGTCTTAATCACATGTTCCCAAACTGCTCTGATGCTCTTTGAGCATTTCATCAAGGATCTGGCCTCAATTTAAAGACTGAGTGATTTGAGAATCCTTGCTTAACAAGAGATCCTTTAGGTACAGAGATATTAGTCATATTCATGGCATGCAGTGAAATGTTTCTCTCCACTGTGTGAACATGAGGAAAACGGGGTAGGGTAACTATTGAGAAATAAAACCACAGAAGAGTTTATCATCACAGGATCAGACACTAAACAGCAGGTAGGACCAGGAGGGTATTTTTCAAGTCACTAGATTACAGTTACCATGTATGGAAATCATTTGTACACTCTGATGCATGGTATGTGCTACACAAAGCTTTAGTCCAAGATTGACTTTGCTGTACTTTCCATATGATCACAAGAGTGTATCGCTACAGCAAAAACCCACATGGTGAACTCCCTTAGCTAAAGAAGGTTCATGTTCAGAATAACTATTTTATTCATGTTACAATACTAAATGTAGCAGACAGGTAGATCGTCTGAGCAGGGGACTTTGAAAGTGACATATTCACATGTGGTGTCCTCATGTTCACTATCAGAATGCTGCAGTTTTTCAGCCTTCTACTGGTTGCTAATTCCAACAAATATGGTTTGACATAATTTTCAGGTTTCATCAGATTTTCTGTTGAATTTAAAGATAAAGGCCTTCTATTTGTAACTATATTTTTTCTCCACCAAATTCATAACAACTCCATATGTCTGGATTTTTTAAGGCATTCTCTGACCTCAGACCTTTCCTCAAGGTAGTTTTAAGTTTGATTTTGCCTTTTCAGAGCTGGCATGCACCCAAAAAGCAAACAAGTTTATAACTATGGGATCTTTTTATTAATGATGAAATCTGATGGGTTTAGTTCAAGGGCAGGAAAAGAATTTCCCATTAATTGATTCTACATTTTGGACTTACTGCAGAGACCTAACAATTAAGGTCCACAATTTTTCATAGAACATTCACTGTTAACTTCCAATTTTAAAATAGAAACATACCTTATGTTCAATAAGAGACAGCTGCTTGTTCTGATTTAGAGATAAACCTAATGAAATAAAGTTGGATCTAAATACCCAAAACTTACAAGAGGCAGTTATTCATTATGATACTGATTAAAGGATAATTATTCAATCCTGTACAAAAGCCTAGGGCAGTTGGTAATGACTGATCTATTTGCAAACAGCATTCAGTAATTTATTTTACCTTATTAGGTAGTTTGACAATGGATTCAAAGAAACACTACTGTGCTGATTAACAACAGACATGTTAGTTTATTTTCATTATACAGATCTTTCTTTGCTGTTAACATAAAGTTTATCAAAGACGAATTATATTTTTGATTTGAATTCATAAGGCTTGAGAATGGATTAGCACAGAAAGATGAAAGATATTTTCCCATTTTATCTTTTTTCATATTTTCAATATATTTAAACTTCAGTGTGGTTAGTAATTTGTAATAATATTATCCTTTCCCTTGAGACCTTGATGAGCATTACAGTACATTAGCTAACTGAACTTAACAAGTGCTCCAGAAAAGTTACGGGTCTACTAAAATCATTTTCCTTTCTGCAAGGAAGCCAGCGTCTTCCTTAGACGACGGTGGGCTTTTCATAACTTCCTGAAGCCCAGTGCTAAGTCACCTCACTGAAACGCACAGGAAGATGCAGATGCAGCGAACGGGCCACACCAAACTTTGCACAAGTACATTTTCCCTAATTGTGGTATGACCGTGTCCTCCTTCATTTTACCTGAGTGAACTTTGACAAGGACACTAGAATTAACATCTTTCTTTTTGAAAATAAGTAGTGTCCACAAATGTTTAACGACCAGTTAGGCTCCAGTTCCTGGTGTCACGCTTCTTCGGGAGATAGGGTACCACCTTCAGAAGGTGTGGAAGTCCACACAGTTGCACCTGGGTGGTGGCTGTAGGAACCAGGTACACATCTGCCTCTGCAGAAGCACTCTCCTGCTTCATGCATTGAGTTAAAAGTATGCATTAATACTCAACATCTGTTCCCAGGGATTTTCAAATATTACAATATGTTGTTGCTAAGATAGTCATCACACTGTACAGTACTCCATCCTAATGTGCATTTTGTGTCCTTTCACATCTCCTCAACCCCCCTTCCCAGCCCTACAGACCCTCATAACCACAATTCCACTTTTTATTTCTATGAGGATAAGCATTTTATACCCCACATGGGAGTGACATTGTGCAATTTTGTCTTTCTGTTATGGCCTTATTTCATTTAGCACAATGACCTCCAGTCCCATCTGTGATGTTCCAAATGGCAAGATTTTTCTTCTTTTTTTAGGTTGAATAGTATTCCATTGTGTCTATGCACCTTTATTTTATTTATCTATTTATTTCTTATTGGACACTTAGGTTGGCTGTTCTGAATAATGCTACAGTGAATGTTGGAGTTCAGATATCTCTTTGACATAGTTATTTCATTTCTTTTAGTTACATATTCAGCTATGGGATTACAAGATCTTAATGTTAATTTTAATTTTATGAGGAGCTACTACACCGTGTTTCATAATGGGGACACTAATTTACATTGCCAGCAAGGATGTGCAAGAGTTCTCTCCATTCTAACATTTGTTGTTTTTGCCTTTCTAGCAGATATAAGGCTGTAACTCATTATAGCTGAAATTCTTGTGTCATTTGAATATTAACACCTCATCTGATATATGGTTTGCCAATATTTTCTCCCATTCTGGTCTGCTGTTATATAGTCCTTTTGATCAGTAGAAACAGATATAGATTCCACATTTTGTGATCCGGAGAGTCTGGTGATGCTTGGGGCAGGCAGTAGAGCCTGGTGGTTGAAGCAAGAGTTCTGAATCACCCAAACATTGCCAAATGCAAGATAATTAACTTTGGTAGATTAAGTAAGTCCTACATGTCACTGGTTTCTTTGTTATTAAGAGACAATAATGAAACAGAAGACCTAATTCACTGGATTGGAGTGAAATTTAAGTCATATGTATATATACATATGTATATATATATGTATAATATATGTATAATATATCTATGCTATATGTATATGTATGTATATAGGAAAAGCTTCCTTTGCAACTGTAATTTGTTCCAGAAACGTGCTTGTAATCCAAAACACTTATATATCAAAGTGAATTTTCTCACAAGAAATAATGGAAATAATGGAAACTGAGATTCATTTTACAACCCAAAAATATTCATATAAAAATGATCACAATACTCTAATATAATCCAAAATAATAAAGAAAATACAAGATATAAAGAAAATAAATAATAATATAAAAGAAAAATTAACCTGCGCCAGTCTTTGAAAAGCTTCATGGCTGATGTGAGCAAGAGGAGAGAGAAAGGTTACCCTGTAGGGAATTTTCCGTCACGAACAGAATCATTGCTGTCTCTTGGCTCAGTGGGATCTTTTGCTTTTTGTGCAACTTTGACAAGGACAAAGTGACACTATCCACTGTCACTACTTTTGTCACTATCCAGTGACACTATTTTTGCCTCCTTTTGAGAATTTCATAGAATTGTGGCACTGTATTGTCATACACAGGTTCATTGTTTGCACTGCTATAGTGCTATTTGGCTGGTGCTTTTCTACAAAATTTTGCACTGTTTTCCACATTTTGCACACCTCCCTAATCTCATCTGAAATGAAGGATTCCTCCACCTTTTTGCCCTATAGATGAGCTCTTTTCCATAACTTCTTGCTGTGAAATGATCACCCACAATCCCACAGCAAAAGAGAGAGAAGAATCTTTGGTTCAGTTGTGATCATGTGACATTTCGCCAGAATGTCACATATATAAACCTGGTTTACCCTCAATAATCCAAAATGGTAGCTGCTATTTCTCCCCTTGCACTCATATTGCAAGATACTGCTCATTCATCAAGTTAAACTTTATTAGAAATGTTTACTCATCTTTCAGAATACTCACAGAACAAGCTACATATAGATTCATTCACTGGTGTGACGATTGCTGGATTCCACATTCCAATAGCCCAGTTGTTCCTGCAACCAGACACCCACAGCTGATCCCTGTGACTGGGATATTGCAAGGTTCTGTTCTTTCAGTTTTGTACTGGTACAAGAATATAGCTGTCTTGTGATATGTAACACTTGGAAATTGATTTATAATGAAAATAAAAACAAGTTTTAATGGAATATCACCCACAAAATATTTTTAAAAGCTTGCTACAGTAGTGAGAATTAATTTGAATCACCATTTTATTTGAGGGAGAACATTCAATTTGCAGGATACAGTGAACTTAGGAAAATTTGGTTTCAGAAATAATTTAAAAGAGAAAACATTTGTGTGTGTTTATTGAAAAGTTGATATGTGTTCAGATATCAAAATTTTCATTTAATGACTATACAAGTAGGCTGAAGCATAATTTAATTATATGATAGGGCTAAATTCAACCCCATAACTAAAAAGCTTTATTATTGTATCTACTCTCACACAGAAGATAAAAAAGACATGCATACAATAAGCTATGGCAGCAATATTTTATGAGCAAACAGTACTTGGGGCACAGACATTTTTTGTTTTGATCCTGTTCTAACATATATAATGTTTTGCAAACAAGACATTGTAATCGAAAGAAATGATAAGACTTCAGCTCTGTAAAAATTCCTATGTTTCAGAAAATATAATGCTTACATGTGCCTAGCTTGTTCAGATTTCTTTATATAGATTAATTCTGCTTGGCTACCCTGAGAATTATTTTACTGTAATTTGATAGCAAAGCATGATAGTCATAACATCTTAATGTTTAAAATATGTGTAATTTAAATTCAGTATAATTTGGTATCTGACTCTCCTAGAAATTTTTATTGTATACATATGATTTAAATCAAATTATATATAAACCTGGGGTATCCTCAGTAATCCAAAATGGTAGCTGCTATTTCCCCTGCAGAGAAAAAGTTGAGTGAAACACTTGAAGTAAGACAATAAGCCTGGCTTTTGTCCTTGTTCCACTGTACTTCGCTGTTGCTCTGTTTATCTTAATAACAACTCACACAGGTTTGCCGGTGCTTTGTATCCTGTACTTCCTCAGTATTGTGTGTCAGAAGTTTAGATATTCATTGTACAAATGGAAGCCAAGTAGATAAGAAATCTGAAACTTAAGATGTGATCTGGATAGAGATAAGGATTTATGAGCGGGTCATCCTCCACAGGGTCATGGACTGTGAAATGGCTAAACACTCAGATTATGTGGATTTGCAAAGTGTGGTGATCAAAGCATGGAACTCTTCAATTCCAGTTTATAAAATGGAGAAAGGAAGGACGGGAATCCATGCTTCCCAGGCAGAGAAGAACTGTTGAAATCCTAGATCCAGGAGGAGCGCAGGATATCAGCTACCAAAGCATGGTTTCTAGGAGGTAGTGCTTAAGAGGATCAGACAGGCACAGAGGTCCAGTATGATGAGGACAGAGCCCGTCTCTTGTATTTTTCAGTTCAGTGGTATTCAAGGACGCTTTGCATGAGTGTTTGTATTAGAGCCTTCACAAACTGAAGCTTGATGATGATAAATTGGACGGCAGGAAGTAGAGGTAACTGTGCTACCCAAACTGTACTTCCACTGAGTCCCTGTGGCTGTCGGGCACTGATACTGTGGCTCCTGTAGGTTGAGTTCCTCTGTACGTGCACAAGATTTCAAAGACTTAGTATCAAAAAAAGAATGTGAAATACGTCATTGCTGATCTTTATATTGGTTACACGCTGAAGTGATATTTTGCATCTGATCTAAAGATGAAGTGCTCTTCTTGACATGTTATATTATTTGCAGGAGAATTTGATACCGTACAGAGCCCCTCCACACCCATCAAAGATCTTGATGACCGAACATGTAGGAGTTCTGGATCGAAGTCCCGAGGAAGAGGCCGGAAAAATAACCCCTCCCCACCTCCCGACAGTGACTTGGAGGTATGCCTATGTAGTCTTAAAGGGAGTAATATGATGCTTTATTTTCTTGAATGGTACATTCCATATCTTATACTCCCATTAAATTTCACAATTTTAAAATTTACAAGGATGTATCATCAGTCAAGTGGGCCTGTTTTGTCACAGGCATTTTACAACTCAGATTTTGTCCATTAGCATGACAAGTGCAAAAACAGTAACGGTGCAAAAGTGATAGTACTTCACAAGTTCTAGGTCTGATACAATTTTATATTTGATCTAAATTAGGACAAACAGGAGCTCTAAAAGAAAAGTTACTGTTTGTGAAATAATTTTCTGAGAAACACTATGTTGGTAGTCCTAAACTAATGAAAGATATATTATATATATATATATATATATATATGAATATGTTTGATAAGATAAAAGTAATCTCTATGGAAAAGAAAAGTCGGGGCTGGGGATTTAGCTCAGCGGCAAAGCGCCTGCCTGGCAAGC